AAAGTATTGGTGAGAGGGAGTCCCCCTGTCTAACGCCTTTTTGTATTTGAAACATACTTCCCATCTTTTCTAGTTGGATACATGCCGAACTGTGTCTATAAATGTTTTTATAATCCTTATATTTGTGTTCTATGCCCTGTTCCTTTAAGGCTTCCCAGATTTTTGAGTGTATTAGAGAATCGAACGCTTTACTATAATCAATAAAGGCTATGTAATATGTAAGCTGGTATTCAGTGTATTTTTCTATAATTTGCCTTACGGTATGGATGTGGTCTAGTACCGAGAACTCCTTGCGGAATCCTGCCTGTTCTATTGGCTGTTCTTCGTCTAATTTCCTTTCTAATCTTTTAAAAATAATCTTTACAAAGTATTATAAATATTAGACATTAGACTAATGGGCCGGTAGTTTCCAATATCGCAGTGATTCCCTTTCTTGAACAGGAGGATTATGTTGGATTCAGTCCATTGGTTTGGGATGATTTCTGTGTTAATCACGTTGTTGAAAATGTCTGTGAGTATAGGTATAATTAATACTTTCGTTTGTTTTAGTATTTCATTGCTTATGTCGTCTGGTCCTGGAGCTTTATCATTTTTCAGGGTATCAATAGCTTTTTCCGTTTCTTCCTACATGATGTAAGGCATAGTTTCGTTCTCTGATATGTCTATTTCTCTTTCGTTTGTGTTGTTTTTGTATAGTTCAGTGTAGTAATCTGTAGCGATCTTAAGTATTTCCTGTCTACTAATCTTCTTGGTCCTGTTGTTGTTTTTCATCTTTACAATCCACTATTTTTTATTAATTAATGCTTTATACGCCTTCTTCATTCCTCCTGTCTGTTTAATATGTCTCTCTATCGTTTCCATTCGTCGTTGTCTCCTGTCTTTCCTTATGTTTTCTTTTATTTCTTTGCTAATTTTTGCTATTTTCTTTCTATTGTTGTCTGTAGTTTTCGTACTTATTAGAGCTGCTCTTTGGTCGAGGAGGTCGTAAGTTTTTTTCGTCATCCAATTGTTTGAATTTTCTTTTTTTGGTGCTATGTTCTTTACTAGTGTTTGTGATTGTACGTTCTAACCAATTGTATTTCTCCTGTATGTCGGCGTATTTTGTTTCTCTTTTGTATTCATTGAGTTTTAACTTTAATGAATTGGCTATTTCTTCTATTACATATGTGTTAGGTTTTACATTCTCTGGATTTATTTTTGGCCTGGGGTTCTTGGGTTGGGATGAATTCAGTTCAGCTCTGACCATGCGGTGGTTGGTGTTAAAATTTTGATTATTGATGACATTCATGTTTGAGAAGCAATTTATTTTATTGGTCATTATGAAATCAATTTGATTTTTAGACTTACCATCAGGTGCCAACCATGTCCACATTCTGTTTTTATTTTTCTTGAATTTGGTGTTTAGTATGGTCAGGTTATTTTCTATTGCAAAGTCCATGAGCCTTTTTCCGTTCCTGCTTCTAGGTTTTGTACTGTATGTATAGGGTCCTATAATTGCATCTTCATCCCATTGACGTTTTCCGATTTGACCATTAAAGTCACTCATAACAATGATATTTTTGTGAGCATGAGTCTGTAAAGCTTTGTTCAAATCCTGGTAAAACTGACTAATTGTTTCGATTTCTGCTTGTTCTGTGGGTGAGTAAATCTGAATAATGGTCCATGGGTCTTTGTAATCTGGTAGTTTTAAATTCAACAATGCTGTGCACTCTGAAACACCATAAAATCCATCTATGTGCTTTGCTAGATATTTTTTTACTAAAAAACCCACACCATATTTTCCTGGGGTTTCCCCTATGTGATAGAATATTAAGTCCAGATTTCTTGTGGGAGAAAATATCTGGATGTGCGACAATATTTTCTCCCATTCTTCGTACTTCACTCAAGCCAAGGATATCCCAGTTAGTGTTTTGTAATGCCAGTGATAATTCTAATTATCGTATATGTGTACACTCTCACAATTTTTAGGGTTCCGTACCTCAAAAGGAAAAAACGGAACCCTTAGGCCGGTCACATACATACGGAATTCCGTTTCGAGATTCCATTTCGATATTCCGATTCGGAATCCGGAACGCAGCAAATCCATATAAAATCTATGGCCCGTCACACACGTAAGGTGGTTTTCCGTTCGAAATTTTGCGGGCAAAACGGGATTCCGTATGTGTGTGGCCTACCGTTCGGAATTCCGAAACGGAATCTCGAAACGGAATTCCGTATGTATATGGCGGGCCTTATAGGATCACTTAGTTGTCCGTCTGTCTGTCTGTCTGTCAAGACCATTTTTCTCAGGAATGCGTGGATATATCAAGCTGAAATTCATATCAAATACCCAGGTCTACTGTCCCTTGGAGCTGTGAAAATATCAAACTTCTAGGTCAACTCAATCAAAAGATACAGCCGTTTATGCCGCAAATTTTCTACATTCGCAAAGGAATCAAAACCTACAGGGTACTTCCCGTAAACTCAGAATCTTGAAATTTGGTACGAAGCAACGTTTTATAGCACAGATAAAGGAAAAATTGCGAAAAGCATACTTTTTTAGTTACATCATATAATAAAAATATTTTTAATAATTTTAAACTTATATACCTACGGATTAGTTCGGAACCCTCAGTGCGCGAGTTCGACTCGCACTTGGCCGGTTTTTTTTCCACCTAATTAACTTCCCATTTGCAAATTTAAAGGCGTTCGATATTTGAGTTACAATTTAAATTAACGGCAAATGTCCATACTTTAACCCACTACCCACTAAATATTTAACGCTTATCTTTGAGATGTCTTACATGCATACCTTTACATATGATTTCAATGAATAATCATTCACACGCGCAAAATTTATGGATAGGCCATAGCTTTTCCCGAGCGGAATGGAGTCTGGGGGGCTTGCGGCTTTGCAGCCGGCACTGCCGTGCCACGACGTCAAACATCATTACATCTTCTATAAATACTACATAATATGGGTATGCGACTATATACCCTTATATACTACTAAGTATACCATTCATCCAACTACTATGAAACTTTTGTGAGTTGTTATGCACGCGCCCGCCAATGTGTTTGACAAAATAAGGCATTCATCGCATGCCGGGCGCAGATAGTGCGGTATAGATATAGAATATAGATAAACAGGAAGATTTAGTTCTATAAACATAAATAAGCACAATTTTTCTTCCTCAGACTGTATAATATTAAGTAAGCCACTGTTGGATAATACGCTCACGCCAGTTGGGATACCTATGCTGAAAATATTTTTTTGTTCCATCATCATTTTGACTAAACTGTTCATAACTCACTTTTTATCTATGTCATTATCTAAACCCAAATATCAGACTGACATTGGGGACCTGCATTACCTGTGCTTAGATATCTGATACGATCTTGACGTATGATCTTCAAAATTGGTTTACAATCTGCGAAGATATCGCATAACAAACATAAAAAAACAGGGTATCCTAGCAGGCAGAACGCAAAATAAGTTTACACAAAAAGAAATTATTAAAATAATCTTTAGATATAGGTATTAAAGACGTACATTCAGCATGAATGAAAAGGCACGCAATTTAAAATGCGTAAAGAGGTGGCGGCTTCATTGAATTTACCTACTGAACTTTGTTCTCACTTTGTTGAATTTTTACTGTGATCTGTATGTAGATGGCTCAGGTGGTATGTGACCAACGCCACCCACAAACAAATGCAACACCAGAGGAATTGCCAGCCATTCAAAAAAGGTAAGCTATTTTCTTAAAGGACCTAAGTTGTAATGGTCTTCAAAAACATATAGGAAATTGAAAAATGGTAGGCCTGCAAGCATTCAGATGGAGTGGATAGTATACAGATTTATGTTGCAACATCAGCATCATCATCATCAGCCTGCGGCAATCCACTGTTGGACATAGGCCTCTCCCAAAGCGTGCCACTTAGCCCGATCTTCGGCTACACGCATCTAGTTTCTACCAGATAACTTGGGTAGATTGTCACTTCATCTCAGGTCAGGTCAAGCATCCCACACTGTTTTCCTAGATGCGGTCTCCACTCCATAACACGTCTGCTCCACCGGTTATCACTTCTGCAACAGACGTGGCCAGCCCATTGCCACTTCAGTTTACAAACACGGAAGACAATGTCAGTAATCTTGGTTCTCCGGCGAATTTCTTAATTTCGAAATTTATCTGCCAGAGAAACTCTGAGCATAGCTCTTTCCATTACTCGCTGAGCGACTTTGAGCTTGTGGAGTAGCCGTATTGTCAGTGTCCACGCTTAGGCACCGTGAGTACGCGCAGGACGCACTGGTGGTGGACTTTTGTCTTCAGACTTCGCTCAGATGTTGCAATATGTACTGGTGAATTGATAGTATTACATCTAAAGTAGTTGCATACAAAGTAATAGTATAAACATTTAGTGATACTCTTAATTTGCTACTTTATTTAATAGTATGATGATATAAATTGAAAAACTGTAGTACTTAATATACAATTCATATTTTTGTTTGATTTAATAAGAATAGCTCAGCAGCGTTTACGAATGTGAGCTAAAAAAATATTAATCACATATTCTCTAAATCAACATTTCATTTATTTGTATAGTCAAATGTGTAATGCTACTGAAACTCGTTTCCAGCATAAAGGGTCTCCAGTTCTCTACACTCACCATAAGAAAGACTAAGCATTATTAAGCTGCTATCTTACACTGGTATTTTGGGAGCTTAGTCCTACCCCTATGCCTATTCGTGCTACAGCCATAACCATCACCTATCTGCAGCATGGCTCTACCACTTATAAGTTATCAGTAATTACTAATAATAATAATAATACAATTTTACTACAATTTTACACCAGTTATTCTATGAGTACTCCACCACTACACAGTGTTAACAATATATTGCTAATATGGTGGCCCTCCATTACATATAATGAACATTATTCCTTTTATCTTTTTGTATTACAAAATGAAATATATTATATTACATGGCTAATTCAAAAACAATTTAAACTATCACTTACCTCTTCAATATCCTTGTGAAATTTTATAGGCCGCATCAAATAGAACTGCACAGCGAAATACACAAAGTTAATCACTATAAATGCACAGTTCCATAGCACAGCATCCAAATAGCACTCAACACTCCAGGCCCACATTCCCGAGAACGCGCATCCCAGGATCAACGCAACCCGCAACCAGATCAGCCCAGTGGCTGTATGGGGAGCCAGGAATGACAGCAGGAAGCAGATATTGGCCACTTGGAAGAATATATGATTGATCGGCCGCCACTTCGGACAGTGGTGTAAATATACATCCCACATTGCTGGCCGATCATGTATCGTCACGTTGACTAAATCGCTCACTGGAGGCGACAACTTCGTAGGCTCCAACAGGCCCATGTCTTCGGTAGTTGAAACGATGTCACTGTCCGTCGTCGGCACGTCCGTCGTAACATTCTGTAAACCAGTAATCATACCGATCGCTAAGGCACTGATAAACAGCATAGTACCACCGAATAACGCTATCCCGATCGAGTTCTCGCATCGGTGGGACCGCGACGATGCTTGGCATTTGCGCTTTATTTTATATCACTTATACACAGCTGTTCCGAAAATATTTCTCTTTAACATGAAGGTATTTTACAAGCGGGGTTTATTATTTCTCAAAAACGGATTTAAATATGCACCGCACAACGCGTATAAATATTGAAAATGTAAAAAAAAGCACCTCCAAAAAATAATTTAATCACAAACACACAGAAATAAGCGGAAACGTAGTTTAATAAAAGCCCTCAAGTGTCCAAAATAAATTGTAAGCTTATAAAAAATGCGAAGCAATAGCAAACAACCGAAGCCTGCGAAATGACAGGAGCAATGCTTGACTTTGACTTGAGCTTTGACAAATTGACATACTTGACATGACAACCACACTTTTTTTTTAGTCCGCGACTCGTATGATTGTACTTTTACCAGCATAAAGTTATACAGAATTATTCTATATCTTAATTAGCTCCATGAAGCAAATACAAAGAGGAGACGGCATAAGCAACTGTGATTCTAAGCACGTCGCCAAGTACCGGGACAAAGTTGTGTCTGAAGTAAAGTCTTTGCTAAACAAAATCTCGGATTGGGGGCAACTAAATCTAGTCCAATTCAGCTAGCATCGAAATCCTCGGCGTCGACATATCGAATAGAGTGCAGTTTCGTGATCACTTGGAAGGGAAGGCCAACTTGGCCTCTAAAAAGCTTGGCGTGCTCAGCAGAGCGAGACAGTATTTCATGCCGGCACATCGCTTGCAACTTTACAAAGCGCAAGTTCGGCCTCACATGGAATACTGTTCTCATCTCTGGGCCAGGGCACCCCAGTGCCAGCTCCTTCCACTTGATCGCATCCAGCGCAGAGCAGTTCGAATCGTCGACGACTGAGTTCTTTCTGATCGGCTCGATACACTGGCATGCGTAGAGGTGTTGCATCTCTTTGCGTATTTTATCGTATCTATCATGGGGAATGCTCTGAGAAATTTTTCGGACTAATTCCAGCCGCACAATTTCACCATCGCACATCGCGAAAAAACTCGCGATACCATCCATATCATCTGGATGATTCCAATTCCCCTGGTGTTGCGGTTGTTCATGGGCGGCGGTAGTCATTTACCATCAGGTGAGCCGCATGCTCATTTGCCCCCTCTTCTATAAAAAAAAAGGTCTTGACGTCATCATAGTGGGCGAGGCTTTAGTTAGTATACTAACATGTCAGCATTCGTCCTGTGCGTGTGCGCTTATGTGTTGAAAATCGCAAATCGGTGTATTTTCGTAGTATTAAGAAGAAAAGGATGAAGTGTTGTGTTTTATCATGTAAAAACTACTCAGATAGACTCTGTGATGCTATAGATGGCATCACATTTCATTTGTAAGTAATTTTACACCTAATTTATTAAAAATTTCTAGAAAAATCTCTTTGCGTCGGCTTTCAAATCTAATTAAATATATTCGACACTAGATGGCGACACTTTTTGTCATGTCAACTAAACATATAAAGGTAATTAGAGCTCAGTATTAGTAAAATAATCATACGAAGGTGCTGAAATTTGTTTTGTATTCAGTTCTAAAGAATTTTTAATCGCCACAATATTATTTATATAGTTTTTATAATCATTTTGTGAACAGGCCGCGATCTATCGTCAAGTTTTTTTTTTATAGGATAAGGGTGACAAACGAGCACACAGTCCACCTGATGGTAAGTGGTTGCTGCGGCCCATAGACATCTACATCTATCAATCAAAAAGAATCAAAATGCAGATGCGTTGTCACCCGTAAGGACTAAGATGGAATGCCTCATTTCCAGTAAAAAGGATCTCCCGTTCTCTACACTCACCATACGAAACACAGCAGCGTTAAGCTGCTATTTTACGCTGGTATTCTGTGAGAGCGTGGTCCTTCCCGGTCGAGCCGACCCATTCGTGCTACAACTATACTATTAATATAGATGCAGCATGGCTCTACCACGTAAAAGAGCTAAACTACATAGTAGCTAAACTACATTGCAACATTGATATGGGACGATTCGAGTAGTTTTACTATTTATTTGTAGATGTAAATAGTAAAGTGGGCAGGGCTTAACATCGCCTCACCCCGCAAATTGTCACGCGTTGTTTCATAGTGAAATCTAATTACTATACCTCCTCTTTGTATTTGCTTCATGATTTGCTCATTGCAAAGGTTTTGGGAGATTGTGATGGCAGTTTGCGCAAGCAGACGGTCGGTGGCTATAGAATTCCAAGGCGCCAAAGCAGACAAAATTACTTGAGGTTCATATCACCATCCGGCCCCATGCGCAGCAACTCATTGTTAAGCCACAGCGCCACGGAGCCGTCATTATGAGCCGTATAATACAGCAATCCACGATTTATTTTTAGAAAATACTCTCAATGCCGTATAACAAAATACGGCAATTGGCCATAAGTTAAAACGGAACTTTTTTTCACTAGTGTAATGAACAAAACGAAATATATTTATCACATGGGTAAAAAACAGAATAGAGACAAAGCTTTAAACAACTGCGCTAGGTATGACAGGTACACTATTTGTCCAATGTAATTGGTAATTGATTATAATTTATTACTTTTAATGTGGTAGATAGAAATCTCATACGCATTTGTTGAAAATTGTTTCAGCAAAAATTTCGCGAATATTTTGATTACGAAATAAACATTGTTAGCTACGACAAACCAGACTGTGACACGCGGCAACTCAGATTTTTACGATGGCAACACTGAAGAGGAAGAAACTTGAAATCTTGACATGACACTTTTCGGTTTCATACAAAGGTACTTTGTGACGACTCCCCGCTAGGAGTAAAAGTATTCTGAGGTGATCGGAGGTGATGACACTCAGTGCTGCCAACGTAGGCGATTTTTCGCCAATTAGGCTACTCGGGATGGAAATCGCCTACGAAAAATTCTGAAAGGCGACTGGTCGCCAAATGGGCTACTTGAGAAACGAACGACAGTCGTTCGTCTCTCAAGCAGTCCATTTGGCGTCAATGAGACTGAATCACAACAGAAGTTAATATATGCGTAAAAAAGTACCTCCTACGCAAAATGTACAAATCAAAATAAAAAAATAACTGGAAACACTGTTAACTTCGGGGAATATCCCAAAAATAAGGCTCACTCACTCTCACTCATCTGCAAACGTGCGCGAGAGAGACCGGTAAATCCGAATACACGGACAAAGCGTTAGGGAGTAGGGCTTCTAACTTAGCCTGTTGCACGTATTAAGTAACCAAATTTAGAATGCAATAAGATTGTAAGTATTCGCTTCGCTGTTAATAACATTTGTAATTAAATGTATTATACCAGCAATGTATTTCATTTGGCTGTTACTTGCGAAATTTCTCCAAGAGTCCTCTTTGTGGATGTTTATTAATTTTGAAGGTATATATATATTTGTGTTTGTGTAGTGAGAAAAATGGGATAATATGGAAAATATGTCAAGCATTATCGTGACGAATGGGAACGAATACCAGCATTTCAAAGTAAGTATAAATATTTAGAAAGGATCGCTAGTAATTTTATTACTTTTAAGATACCTACTAGGCTGATATGGTGACTGCTTTCGGACAAAAGGTGGGGACAGTGGGCTTGTGACCCGCATGACACAATTTTTTTGGGGTTCCCTAGTCATGTCCTTTTGCGATACTCCTTGTTTCCATTGCAAGTCGTTTGTTTAAACCAATATTTTTGAGTGGCTGAAGTATGCCTGAAAACGCCTCATCAATAATGCTTCGTGAAGCAGATATAACAGCTATTAAGTACGCTTTAGAAAAAGCCAATGCACTATTTGAAAATTCATTGCTTCCAATGGATTCAATCGACTTTGGACAGAAGTTCAATACACGTGGTAGAGCCATGCTGCAGCTATATTATGGTTGTAGCACGAATGGGTCGGCTCGACCGGGGAAGGACCACGCTCTCACAGAAAACCAGCGTAAAATAGCAGCTTACCGCTGCTGTGTTTCGTATGTTGAGTGAAGAGAACCGGAGACCCTTTTTACTGGCAAAGAGGCATTCCATCTTAGTCCTCACGGGTGACAACGCATCTGCATCTTGAGTCTTTATTGAGGATAGATGTAGATGTCTATGGGTCACAGTAACCACTTACCATCAGGTGGACTGTGTGCTCGTTTGTCACCCGATCCTATAAAAAAAAACTTGAAAAAAAGACTGTTTCTGCCAACAGAGCCCAAGAAGTCAAACAGTGATGCTGAAAATTTCTTATGCGCTTAGTTGACAGGCTACCTCTTAATGTATCAGTGGTGGAAAAAACTGAACATTTATCACCAAGCCACCAGCAGACCCAACGTTGATGATGATTTTCCCTGGCTATTAGGAAAACTTAATATTGGTCGGGAAACTATAAAGAACAATGGCGTTCTTTAAGTATGTTGCGCATGGAGGAAGTAATCGGTACAGCTTCTCCCAATGATATCTTAAGTTTTTGGGTACAGGTATAAAAAATAAAGAATGCTGGAGGAATCCCATGTTTAATGATTTAGCAGCGTTTTCATTGCGATTTCTCTAATTACCATTAAATAATGCTATCGTAGAAAAAAGTTTCAGCGCGATGGGTACAAAAGAGACAAAATTAAGCAACAGAATGCAACTACCCATGCTGATTGCAATTCTTAAAATCCGTACACATATGAATGTCCAAAATATTTGGTACAACAATTTTCATTTAAGCAATCATATTATCAGTTTACATGCTCGGAGAAAAATGTACATTTCCAGTTCCAGCGAAGCTTGCGCCAGCACCAGCACAGCAGAGACTATAGAAAATTTTGACGGTGAAAGTCTTAGTGATGCTTTGTTGCTGCTTGCAGCAGATGACGATAGCTGATTTTTTTTTTAAATTTGATACTCTATGTACATCTTATGAATAAACAAATTGTTAAAAATTACGTCTTTATTTATTCATAGCGAAGTTTTGACGTTTGGGCTACTATAGGCTTCTTCAGCTCAAATTCGGCTATATTAGGCTACTAAATCTGTGATAAATGGCGATAACAGGTTCCAAGTTGTTGGCAGCACTGATTGAAACTGACAGCAACTGAGATGAGTTTTGGCGGGAAATTGACCGGCGGCGGTTTGCTGCTCCTGTATTATTGTTTAAATAATGGTTTGAAGTGGACTTTGATATGTAAAAGTGTTGCGATTTTGTGTATTAAGTGTCTACGCATGTGAACTATTAGTGGAAACAGTGAAACAAGTGCTCTGATGGTGATGGATTCTCAAGATAAGCTGTTTGTTTGCATAGGCACCTTTAGATACCATCGCCAACTATCAGCTGTCTGCTGGATCAAGTTGCCACCAAAATCTCCCAAGAACTGCACAATGTGACGCATCAACATATTGTGAAGCAGTATACTATGAAGGAGTGGGGAAATTACAATAAACCGAATAAAAATACTTAAGACTTGGCCTAAAGGTCTAGATACCAGGCCATAAACTCCAAAAAAAAAAAAGACAGCAACTGACAGTGACAATTGTTGTGGCGGCACTTGTGTAAATTAAGTGATAACCCCAAAATTTTTTAAATCATTAATTATGTAAATAAACGTATATTTCATATTGAAATAATGACGAATGTACCCTGTGACATGTTACTGCATCCTGAACTTTTGACAAATCAGCAACTGATGTCTATTATCCAAGAGGTAGTTTATTCACAACTGTTATTTCAAACTATTTTAAAATAAACTTTATCTTTTATATCTTAATGTCGTTTGCAGAGGCATTTGAGGGTGCCAAACATGGAAACCATCGCTAGGGATGAGCTATTAGAATTATTTCATCATTACTGCGTACCTTATGGTCAAAGAAAATATCGGGATTCAGGAAGAGGCAAAATGTTAAATAAAGCACGTCATGTTAGTCCTGAACACACTTCACGATTAAACCTGCTCAATGATAATCAGAACAGAAAGTTATCGCATGCATTAAATGACAGATTAAAGCCACCACCTGATCTACTATCAGGACACATGAAGAGAATTAAGTTAGAAAATAAAGTAGCAATTACAAATGATGTTAATAATCATAAAAGGAAAATGTCAATTGATAGTGTAAGTAATTATTTTATTTAAATTAGTAAAATTTTTGTTTGTGTACTCATAAAGTAACAAATCATTATTTGGCATCTAAAACTTATGAAGGATCCAAAACTGGAAATGAAAAAGAAACTATAGGATACATACAGGAAATGTTTATTTCTCATAAGATAGTTACTGTTTAATGTGCAGTTCTCTTTATATTGAATTATGTTTTTTTTTTATTATAGCTGCATACTTAATTGTATTCTTTCTAATAAAGGAAATAGAATTTATGGCTTGATACACAAAGGTTTTAAATGCCAGATAAATTTGGCTTAGCTTTCCATTTACTCCCATCGAGTTGGGGATTGATACGTATTTTTACATAAAAGTTACACTATTATAAGCACACACATAAAGTTTCAATATGCGCAAACACATACTTTTTGAGAAAAAACATTATTTGAAAATTAATTATTTTTGCAATGTTTATGTTACATTCCTAGCGGTTGGGGATTGATACGTATTTTTACATAAAAGTTACACTATTATAAGCACACACATAAAGTTTCAATATGCGGAAACACGTACTTTTTGAGAAAAAACATTATTTGAAAATTAATTATTTTTGCAATGTTTATGTTACATTCCTAGCGTAAAACTGGCGCCATTTTGTAATGTCATTGTCCTCGTCAGTACGGATGTCGATTCTTTCCGAAAAAGATAGATTTTTAAATCGATTCTAATAGTAAGCTGTCGTGATATCACAAAAAATGGATTTCTAAAATATAGATATATTTTCCTGTTTGCATTTATAAGATACCATAATAAATGATTTCTTATGGAAAAAAAGAAAGATGATACAATAAATGATCTCTTATAAGTAAAATCAGTTTTAATGGCGATTTTCAAGGAAGTTTAATTTAACAGTACCTATTAGGGCAGATAATAAATAAAATAGGTTAGGTTCTACTTATGTCAAAGAACCAAATTTATTGACCCCGACTCCACGTGGTACGAGTCTGTCCTACCCCTAGAGTGGTTATATAGAACCGGAGGCACGTAGGGGGAGTAGCCTCCGCCTGCTGTAACAAATCGTAGGCATCGAACGAGCCGGAGCGGCTGAGGCTGGTCGCCGAAGGCGACCAACAAGCCAAAGCTGCGGAGGCGAGGAGGGATGTCTGCGATTTGTTACGCTAAGGCGTAGAGGCTGCTCTTCCCGCAGCGCCGGAGACGTTGCAGTCTCAAAATATATACAGAAATTCCTCTGAATTAGTCCCCCTACACCTCTTCTCTCCCCCCCCCCCCCCCCTCTCCCCTCAATTCGACGAATATCAATGGAAATTCGTAATAAAGTAGGTTTAAAAGGGCTAGAACCCAGAGCCGTAAAGCCAGTTTAAAAAAACAAACAAAATATTGTTTAAATAAGTGATTTTTATTAATTTATTTCTCAAAAAATACGTGTTTGCGCATATTGAAACTTTGTGTGTGTGCTTATAAAAATGTAACCTTTCTGTAAAAATATGTATCAACACCAAACTCGATGGGAGTAAATGGAAAGTCGTACCGATAAATTTTATTGAGGGAAGTTATTATGATTGGAATAACAGCTATGAATGATAGCTTTCCTTATTGCACATAAGATATTACAAAAACACCTGAGTCTTCTATAATTATATATACTTATTTGATATTTTATTATTCAATAATTTTAAAAGACTATATAATATATTCATATCCACTCAACAGTAAATGCCATTGTGGCTATCTAATACTTTCAGATTTTTTTAAAGCAAATATATATGTATTTAATGTTTTTTTTTACAGTCACCAGTTTCAGATGCCCCTCCATATAAAAAAGAAAGAAAACCTATAACTTGGCCATAGTGAAATGTAAAACATGATAAGTAGTAGGAGGATATTGATAATAATTTATAATAATTTTACACTTTGTAATCATGGTGTAGTGAGTGTTTGGTTGTGTGTGTATCTCTCTTGATCAAAGCTGGAACCTGCTTTGAAGATTTAATATTTAAATCAACATATTTGCAGGGTCATTTATTGTACATGTTGCTTGTGTAAATAATATTATTTTAACTTATCATTTATTATCCCTATTGTTAAAAAATATAGGCCAAGTAGACAAGATTAAAAACCCCCTGGCTAATTGCATGAATAAAAAATGTGTGAAAGATCTTTAAGGTATCTTCTTTTATCTTGATAGGTCCAAAAACGTCCACTGCTGGACAGATGCCTCCACCATTTTAGGGAGGAATTGTCTTAATCACCACTCTTGGAAAGAAGATGGTAGAGCCATGCTGCAACTATATTATGGTTGTAGCACAAATGGATTGGCTCGACTGGGGTGGGACCACACTCTCACAGAATACCAATGTAAAATATGTGTTGCACGTGGTGAGTGTAGAGAACCGGTGACCCTTTTTACTGGAAACGAGGCACTCTGATCTCAATGCCAGACTTACACCAGTGCACCTTCGGCGTCTTCTCCCCTTCTCCAGTATGGGTATTTTATGTCTGATGTAAACAATATACTGCCATTTATCAGAAGTTATAAGATTTTTCTAGCATTTCTCATAGTTTCCTCTTACGTCATATGATTAGACTTACAACGAATAGTATATTCGACTCCAAGCCGAATACCGAATATTCTGTGGGCTCCCTGGCCGAATAGCTGAATATTAGGTATAGTTATTCGGCTGGGAAGAGAGTAGTGTTTATTCAGCACCTCTTCTTTGAAGCTGGGATTGTCTACAAGTAGTAAAGAAAATACTACCGACTATAAACACAAAAAAAATTGTCTTTCTGTACCATAATCTTCCAAATTTTAGTTACGATAATTCAAGTGCATAGACATTTATTTGATAGGTTTTTTTTTTTATAATACATTATATGCCTATGTATACTTATGACTGCAAGTATCCGGTTTTCAACCGAATGGGATAGAAGTAGCCGAATAATCATCAAACCTGTAGACAATATTGTTGAATAGGTTTTAATTATAAATAAATTGAACATTACAATTGTTTTAAAAATCAATGACCTACATACCTAGGTATAATATTCATTACTAGGTATTATTTAATTAACCTCTTATATTTGTTTTATAATATTAGAAATCATACATTAAATCATTTTTAGAAACCTCATATGATTATAATGTTTAAAAAGAAGAATAATACTGGCAACATGTCGTAAATTTATAAATTAGCATATAAAACTGAATAATTTGAATACATTTTTTTCCTGTATAAATGCTAAAATTAAAAATGTAGTTTTAACATACTTTTATTGTATGTGGTTTTAATGGTATTATTGCACTTTTTTACTGTGTGCGTTTAATTTTAAGTTTTAATTGTTACATAATAAGACCTAACTTAAGTAAGCAAGTCACAATTAATGATCTTAAGTGTAATGTGATGTTGAATTTATTTTATAAATAAAAAATAAGTTCTTATAGTGTTTTATTTATCATTACTAATTATGTTTGTTAACGTATTTTGAATTCAGAATCACATGCGTGTAGCGTGTCTGAGTTTTGAATGAGTTCTAGTTCTACTCGTGACTCAATATTTGAACTATGGGGTAAAAAGATAAAATGTTAATTAAAAAGGATAACATAATTTTCACTCACATAAGAGTGTCGAAGAACTAAAGACCCCGACCTCAGAAGCTATTACGTGGGAATTATTTTATTCTTAGTTTTTTCTTTAATGATTAAAAGTGGTTCACAATTGACGAAGATAATTTCATTACAAAAAATAAATAAAAAATACAGTCGAACCGGCGTTCTTTTTTCTTGAAGTCTGCTAAAAAGAAACCCACACGCTGCTCTAGTATAGGTTTGTTACATGTCCACTAAGTACTTATAGATATATATGTCTACTAACCTGTATGGTATAAATTTCTCACCGCCGATCTCTCACTAGTGCGTATTATAGTGGATGTCATACACGATCAAGTTTACCTTCAAGTTTGAAGCGGCGTCCAGTTTGCAGTGCATCCATGTAAATCCATGTAAACCACTCACGTTCAAGTTCGCCGTCAAGTTTGCATGATGCCGCATCAGTTGAAACTATGGCGTCACTAGTGACGGACGACGATGCGTTAGTCATCCTAGGCTTATTGTTCGCAATTAAGAAAACAAAAAGGAAAGATAGTTCGGTGTGGTGCAAAAACTAGTTAATGAAACGAAAAAAATTATCTCAATAGTAAATAACAAAAAATGTGAAACAGACAAGTGATGGCTGCGTGGCGCAGTGACTCATTAGAGTTGCAGCGCTAAGGGCTGCGGGAAGAAGTATTTGCATGACCTACAAATAATTGTTCTGGGTCTGTTCTATGTATGTAAACTGTCCCTGCGATACATAAGAAAATCTTTTTTTTTTTTATTATAAGCACTAACTTTCAAATAAAGTAGAATTATCAAAATCGATTCACCTAGAAAAAAGTTCTGAGGTAACACATTAAAAAAAAACAGTCGAATTGAGTACCTCCTCCTTTTTTTGAAGGCGGTTAAAATGGTAAGTACGTAAATTATCTGAGTTTCAAAGACGTTCACGTTATAATATTTTTCTCGATGTTGCATATTAACCTTCCTCTCATTGAACAATAAAGTTTTGGCTTAGCAATGAGTTGCAACGCTGGGGACGCGAGTTCGAATCCCGCACGGAACAAGTATTTGTATGGCCTACAAATAATTGTTCCGGGTCTAGATGTTTGTCGTTGTGCAATTTATGTTTGTTAACTGTCTCCTCCACGATACAGGAGAAACTCCTAGTGTGGAGGTAACGTTTTTTTTAACAAAATAAAAAAAATATTAATACATTGCATAACTTTTCGGTGTATTCTACTATATACCGCATGCGCGCGTCTTCGCTTTCCGAAGCCAACTAACGCTAACGCCATGCATACTTGACCGCTCATATACACGTTCAAGTTTACAAGACGCTGCAAGCTTGATCAAACCGACAGAATCGAAATTCAATTTTTGCTTCAAGTAGACTTGTCATGCACACTGCTAGCCATACACCGTCAAGTTTACCGGACGCCGCTTCAAGTGCGCTGCAAACTTGACGGTAAACTTGATCGTGTATGGTGGGTTTAGAGAGAAACCGACAGTTTAGTGGCGGCGTGAGAATATCCACTATCACGTCCTGTGGTACAACCGCGTGAGGCAACAGAGGGAAACAAACCACGTGATGAGCAGCAGCGTTGTCAACCCTGTTTTCCAAGCGTGGCGACTGTAGCAAATATATAATACCTATCGCTCGTATGAAGGAAGAGTTTGATAGGCTGTAACGATAACGGTAACTGCATTGAAAACTGGATTTTAGAGTACTATGAAAGTAAGCGGCCTGTTCCTAATTCATCACATGATTCATTAATATATAATTATTATCTTCACCATCATCATTTTAGCTCAATGTTCGCTGTTGGATATAGGCCTCCCCATGGATTGTAAAATGAATTAACAAAGCACGGTATTGAGCCACTTTAGCCACGCACTCATTTTTGATGAGGTCGTCTTTCCCTTTATAAACAATTTCCAACCCTACCTAGTACGAGGTTGTCACTCCAAAACCTTTCTGTCCCATGGGTTGTCTCTTCTTCGAGCTATATTGCCGTCTTACGTGCGGGGTCGTCCCTTAATCACGTACGGTTCGAACGGAGGGAAAGGAGGTCAGAAAAAAATTACGAAGAAGAGGAGATGTTATGTGTCTATCACGTGTATTTTTTGGCGCCGATAAAATATCAATGTCAACTCAAAATTATTAATATTTATGGTTTTACAGAATCTAATTTTGTTATTTTTTTATAAAACAGATTCTAAAAATATGTAATCATTTCAATTATAAAAAATACACGATAATGCTGGGAGGAGGGTAGCCTAAAACCTCACGACGTATCATCAAGGACGAAGGAGGGGTATAAATGGCCTAAAAACCTCACGTGATTATAAGATCACCGCCATTACCATTAATATAGTTAATAGGTAGGTCGGGGGAAAAGTTTCTTCGTATTTTGTTTGTATAAAATTGAAGAAAAATCTCTTTGTTTATACTGTTTGTATCTGGCTGGTTTTCATATCAATACATATTATAGGGCATTTTAAGAAAAAGTAAAGAACAATTTCCCGCCATTTTTCAATTGTTTGACAAAATTAGTGAATAATCTAACGGATAAAACTCGATATATTCTGAAGTTATATTACAAAAAAGGGAAACATTTGACTCAAGCCGCGAAAAAAATTGTGATGTTTATGAACCTAATGGAGTATCAGTAAGAATAGCACAAAGTTTTTGAACCAACTTTGTGCTACTCTTACTCTTAAGTTGGTTCAAGCGTTGTCAGTCCAGAAATTTTGATGTCAAAGATGCAGCTCGCTCTGGTCGCCCTCATACGGATAAAGTCGATGCCATTTTTGAAAAAGTGGAGCATGATCGACATAATAGTAGTTACGACATAGCTGAGGAGTTGAGGATTGACCACAAAACAGTTTGGCCCATTTGAAAAAGTGTGGTTATACTTGGATTCGATATTTGGGTACCACACGAGCTCAGAGAAAGAAACCTAATGAATCGTGTATTCATTTGCGATTATCTATTCAAACGTAATAAAACCGAACCAAATTTGAAAATATTGATCACTGGTGATGAAGAGTGGATCACTTACGACAAGAACGTGCGAAAAAGGTCATGGACAAAGGGTAGTCAAGCTCCACAGACTGTAGCGAAACCCGCATTAACACGCAATAAGGTGATGCTGTGTGTATGGTGGTATTGCAAGGACATCGTTTATTATGAGCTTTTACCGCCGGGCAAAACCATCGATTCGGATCTCTACTGCCGACAACTAATGAGACTCAA